GCAGAGATGTGCAGCAATGAGGGATGAGGAACTGGGGGTAGCAACCAGAAAGTCCTAGATGCCAGGAAATCAAGAGCCCAGGACCCCACGGGGATGACATCAGCCAAAATACCCCACAAAGGGGAGGGAGAACCTGTCGAGACCATATCCGGAGGTTAGGCACACCACCACCACCCCCATTGAGGGATGGGGCCACCCACCCATCTCCAGAATTTTAACCCAGAATTGTCCTGTCTAAAGGAAATACAGGGATAAAGTCTCCAAGAGCAAAGACTGAAGGAAAGGCTATCCAGAGACTGCCCCACCTGGGGATCCATCCCATCTGCAGACACCAAACCCAGACGCTATTGCCGATGCCAAGAAGTGCTTGCTGACAGGACCTTGATACAGCTGTCTCCAGAGAGGCTCTGCCAGAGCCTGACCAATACAGATGCAGATACTTGAAGCCAACCATCGGACTGAGCACAAGGACCCCAATAGAGGAGTTAGGGGAAGGACTGAAGGAGCTCAAGGAGCCTTATCTGGCATCAATAGAAGGGGAGGCCCTTGGTCCTGTGAAGGCTCAATTCTTTAGTGTAGAGGAATGCTAGAGAGGTGAGGCTGGGGGGTTGGTGGGTGGGGGAGCACCCTCATAGAAGCAGGGTAATGGGGAATAGGATAGGGGGTTTGCAGAGGGGAAACCAGGAAAGGGGATAACATTTGAAATGTAAACAAATAAAATTTCCAATTTTTTAAAAAACAGAAAAAAATGGGAAAAAAAACAGCACTTGATGCTCGTGCAGAGGACTGAGGTTCAGTTCCCAGCACCCACATGGCAGCTCACAACCATCCATAACTCCAATTTCAGGGAATCTGATACCCTCTTCTGGCCTTCACAGACACTGGGCAAACATACACAGTGTATATACACATACACATGCAGGCAAAGCCTCATATGTATAAAATAATTTTTAAGAAGACAAAAGGGTCCAAAGTTGGGTCACATTCACATCCATTTGAAGTCAGATGCAATTTGAGATAACCATGGTAAGTCTAACATTTCCTCTTTCACAGTTCCTGGGTTTTATATAGATACATAAACATATGATGTGTAAGACAGGAGAAGAAAAGCAAAGGTATTTTAGTTTTCCTCTATGATACTGGTTATCTGTGAGCATGCTGCTGAAATCCCACACACTTGTGAACGTTCTGTGATTCCTTCTCAAAGAGGAAACCCTGCAGTACGGTCAGAAAAATGATGGATTTCTGTGTGGCTGGAGTTTGTCTTGCAGCCCACCAGAGTGTCTGTCCTGCATGATGTCTGCCTTGTATCTGATATTTCGTGGCTGCTGGGTAGACGGATCCGTTCTTAGTCCTATTCGGTCTGAAGTTCAAATCCAATGCTTCCCCCATTAAGTGGGCTAAACTGCTGTTGAAAATGGAGCTCCCTGCTGTCATTTAATGAGATTTGCTTCTCTCAAACTTTAGATTATCCAAGATTTGGTTTGTAGCTGGGAGTGGTACTTCATGACTGGAATCCCAGCACTCAGGAAATGGAGGCAGGAGGATTAGGAGTTCAAGTTTATTCTATCCTCAGCTAGATCAAGGCTTGTAATGGCTGTTTCTTTTGTAGCGGCCGGTTCTGCTACTTTGTAACGCCCATTCTGCTGCTCGGTCCGCAGGTCAGGGTCTAGCAAGAGAGAGTGGGGATGGAGGAGCGAGATACACAAAAGATGGATACAAGACAGCGTCTGGTCAAGTCTCTTCAAGTCTCTTCTTTATTCTCCTATATTCTCCTATATAAAGGAAATCCTGGGTATGTATACCCTTTACCATGTGACTTGCCCTCATGGACAAGCTCAACTGAAGGCCCTACGTCACATGCCTTGTAGCCATGGATACCAGGAGCACCTTGCAGCTGGGGGCATTAAACAGTGTAACAAGATGTTTATCAGAGTGTGCTCAGCTATTGCGGGCTGTTGAAAACAAGTCTCTTCTTAGGGTTTATGGCCTGAGATGGCTGCAAAGATGATAGCCGCTTTCTGCTAGGAGTCGGCTCCCAACAAAGGCTAGCCTGGGCTATATGCAGTGCTGCCTGTGGGGGTGGGGGTTGATTTATTTTGCATATTTTGTGTTTCAATACTGGATGCATGTGTGCAAGTTCACAATAGCCTTTGTAAAAGAGGAAGAAAGATCCCAAACAAAAACTCAAATAAATAGGAAAAAAAAAAAGACGGCAAACTGAGCTCAATCACAATAGAAGGAGAGAAAAAATACAGAGTAGAACTAAATGAAATATAAAAAGTCAAAAGGTTCATAAAAGTAAGAATTAGCTTTTGAAATAAACAAGAGAAACTTTCAGCTAAACTGGAAAAAAAAAGTCAAATAAATCAAATAAATCAGAAACAAACGAGGAAAGACTCCAAGTCCATGTAGACACTTCTTAGAAATCTGAAAAAGAGAATTACCATATCATCCAGCAAGCCTACCTCTGTACTTCTGAGTATCTACATAACAACTTTAAATATATGCGGCAAATATCCTCAGGCCAACAGTCACGCCTAGCTTGTACACACTGCACTCAGCTGACTAGGGGAATATTCTGAAGGTCCAGAATGGGTTCAGAAGGCAGGTTACATAACACAGCAGATGACCAGACTGTGCTTAAAACAGACGTTTTGTCATTTGTGACAACGTCGATGGAGCTTGAAGGTAATTATGTTAAGTAAAATAAATCAGGCGCAGGAACTCAAAGGATTCATATCCTTGGTTAGACAAAATTGAGAGGAAAAAGCCATACAAGGAGAAAGCAAAATGGTGATCCTGAGGCTGGGGGCGGGGGGGGGGGGGAGAGGGTACGGGGAAGATGGCCAAGGGCACAAGGCCCCACTGAGAGCGAGCTTATGTTCTCCTGGAGATTCAGTGCACAGCACGGTGACGACAGTGAATACCAGCGCTGTACATTTCTGTCACTAACAGTAGATTTCAAATGTGCCCACCATGAGAAAGAGTACTTGAGGCAACGTACATGTAAATTGTCTTGACTTAATTTTTCCTCACGCTCAAGGGTCACGACAGCACTCACCCTTCTGTAAGTGACTTTCTCTGATCAGCCAAACTGCAAAACTTCATGAAACTTCTTCCACATTGCAACATGGAGTTTGGGGTCACCTAAATCTGTGTTCCTACGCCATGATGACTTAAAATAGCTCCAGAATAAACGATCTCTTCTTCCCTTTAAAAAACAAAAAAAACAAAAAAAGTGACCAGGTTGGTGATGGTGTGATCATGTTACAAGAAAAACAAAAATGGTTTCCTTCAGCAAGTTAGAGATGCTTCCAAAGTCAGAAGGCAATCAGTGTTAAAGAGTCACGGTAATGGTGGTGCTTGAGTGGTAAAGAAGGCAAGCCATGGCGGGAGGGGGAATGTGAAAAGGATCATGGGATTGACTACCTAGAAGCAAGGTGGGAGGTAGAAAGGATCATGGGACTCACTGCCCAGGAGCAAGGGGGGCGGGGAGGTGGGAAGGTGAAAAGGATCATGGGACTGACTGCTCAGGAGCAAGGGGGGAGGGAGGTGAAAAGGATCATGGGACTGACTGCCCAGGAGCAACAAGGAGCGCTCTGTGCCTGGTGCTTCCTGACTGGGCAGCAGAAACCTCAGGAAGCATCTATAGGACTGAGAAGACCATAAAAGAGCTGCAGAAATGCCAGTCTGGACCAGAATATTTAAAAAAAGAGTCCCTAGTCTCTTTCTTCCTCGGCACTAATGCATTTCAAGAATAGCAACCATTGGATTTATTTTGTTGCTGTAGCTGTTATATTTATTCACACTTTTACTTTGAGCGTTGTTACGTGATTGGTCTGCAGGGACCTACAAGAGAAAAAAAGGTATCAAATACTCGCACTTCATCGCTGGGTATTTTTCTAAAATTAATCTTCTCAGGGTCAAAAGAAGGACGTACAGAAGTGTTTACATTGGGCACTCGCTTGGGGCACTAATTTCAGTGCATGCATAAGGCCATCTTTGTGAATCAGGAGAGACTAACATATAATGTTGGATTAAAAACTGCATTTATTAGTAAGCACTTCGCTTAATCAGTCTGATAGTTACCATTGCCCTGACAAGCGCTTATGAATTATGGCATTGCTTTTGGCAAAACTATTTATCTGTGTGACACGACGCGTCACTTTTGAACTCACACTTGACATCCATAAAATTACATTTTCATCAAACTGAAAGATCAAGCTTTCTGTGCTGACTCACTTGGGTCAACATTTTTGCAAATGCCTAGATTTACCGCTTGAACCATAAGCCCTTTGTGAATAATTCCGTGCACTGATGTTTGATAGCCTAGGGCACAGATCATAATTTCTGAGCAGAGGTGTCAACGCAGAACACATTTCCCTTCTGCATACAGGATGACTTACTCCAAAGCCTGCTCTCTTCCAGGCGTTTTAAACTCAATGGGTAAATGCTAACATCGTGGTGCTCCGAAGGAAAACACAGGTTCAGCGGGGCACCCTCTGTTTCTTCCGGATAGGAAAGACACATTGCCTCCATTGCAGGAGGATTCCCGTGGGCGTGATACCTGCTACAGTTGGGAGTGATTTAGAGTCGACCTGATTTCAGATTCTTTTAGGATAAGCAGTGAAGTAGATAATTCAGGATTGACAAAAAAAAAAAAAAAAAAAGGAGTTAAGATTGACTGGTCTTTAAGTCTCTCCTCAAAAATAGCCTCACACAGTATTGATGTGTTCCAGCCTTGGCTTAGCCTCCTGTGTGATCGTTTGTTTTTTAGACAAACAAGCAGATTTGGACTTTTCACCCTGATGAGCAGATGTGGAGAGCTTAACCTTCAAAGAAAATGCCTGCTCAGGGAAATGACCCTATGACCTTTTAAGACCTTCGGACAGAAACGATTGGCTCCAGTTAACGACTATATCCTCCCCACTTCAAGGACTGTTGACACAAAGTTCAATTCCTCGTGCACCTTTACCAACTGTGTTTAAATGCTTTCCAGCACAGTCTTTGGAGCAAGCTCCTCACAGCCGTTTTTACACAGACGGAGAATGCTGCTCGGCGCAGCATTTATCGTCTGACAAAGGTACATACGGTTCTGGTGATATTTACTTAAATTTTTAGCTGCAAGCATTTCCCAAGTAAAAGTGAAGGGAGCATCAGCTACTGTGGCTCTTGGGACTTCACTGAGAAGTTCTTGTTAGAGCTGGAGCTTTTGAGGCAAGCCTTTGGAAAGTGCTGCCCCAGCGAGCATCTTCAGTTAGAATGTTACTAGTAGTGTGGACCAATGTGACCATAAAGATAAAAGAAAAAAGAGCCTGGGGGTAGGGGATGTTTAGAAGTCTACAAGGACAGCTCAGATCTTACCAAGATGGTACTATGTTCTTGGAAAAAGGTTGTATTTATCATCAAAGACTCAGCACACACAAGTGTCTGTCATTAACATTTGTGAAAACCAGCTAGGGTCGTATTGGTTCAAATCTTATAGAGCCTCTAATGCTAAACAGCCAAACGCCTAAGTTAGGTGGTTGAGGGTGGGGAGACATTATTGAGTTACAGAAGACTTATTTGGCTTGATTGAATATTCAAATCATATTCCTTATAGCTCACATAACTGAAAGGCCCAGAGATCAAGAGGAACTGAGTCTGACTTGGTGTACTGGGGTCGGGCTGTATCACAAAACACCTGATTTCTCTCCGTCTATCTTCCGTCCTCTTTACAGAGTCAGTTCATCCAAGTCTGTGTCTCTCATTGTCCCAAGTAACCTCAAGTGCCACCTGCTTCCTTATGAAGCCTTGAGGGACAGAGAGAAACTCTACAGATATTGCCTATAGAATGTCAGGTATGACCTCGTCCCGGGTTTTACTTAAAGGGACAGATGGGGGCAGCAGAAGGGAGAGGAGTGTGGAGAGGATAATGGAGTGGTGATTGTGAGGAAAGCTTAATGATATAATATATGGAAACACCACAGTGATGTGAAGCGGGGGTGGGGTAGAGGGACGGGGAGGGGGACAAGCATCTAGACCATGGTAAAACCAGAAGCCACAAGCTGTCATGGCCTCTGCACTGCATCCCTCCAGTCTAAATGTCAAAGGCTCATGTGAACAGCGCAGCTCCATCAAAGCCTTGACTCTCGGTGACACTTTTGAAGCTGTTCCAGGTTCTGGAAAGACATTTGCTAGCAGATGGGCAGAGGATGACAAAAGATCCCAGGAATACATGGCCTCCCGAATCTCCTCCAGTTACGGTGAACTGGAATAGTCCAGCTGGTGGAAACCAAAAGACAGGGGAGTGTGTGTCAGACAGCAGTTTGGATGTAGGGACACAGACAGGGAAGTCAAGTGACAGCTAGTCAACCAACAGCAGCATGCAGGGCCCTGCGGTAACAACTGCCTGCATAGCAGACCAGAACCTCACAATCCACAGACAGACAGCACATCACAGCCAACAGCTTTCCACCTCCAAGTAGATACTCATGATAGAAACATGCTCAGTAGCTTTTAGGAAAATGTTGTTAACAAGATGGGGTTTGTGTGCCTTCTTCTGGCCAGTTTGTCATCTTCTTTTGGAGGATGGATTACTAATTTTTCAGAACTCAAGATGTAAGAGCATTTTCCTAGAGAAGTGGTTGTTGGAAATACTAACACCACCACCACCACAACCACCCAAAAAACTTCTGCCTCAGACATTTCTTATTTTTCATGGCAATAGGGCTTTCAGTTTGGTGTATTCTCCCTTCTTGATCTCTAAAAGTTCTATCTTTAACACAGAAATAAAAACTTTAAAGTGTATGTGTGTGTGTGTGTGTGTGTGTGTGTGTGAGAGAGAGAGAGAGAGAGAGAGAGAGAGAGAGAGAGAGAGAGAGGGGTGTCACAGCCAACCAACAATTTTTTCTGAGTAGGGCACAGACTTTACAAAGACACCAAGCTATAGAAAGATGATCACTCTGGTTCCCTTTGCAGCCATGTCTAGAGGAGGGCAATATTATCTTTTAGGGTAAGACAAGTTTCCATAGAAAGGGGCAATCTTATGCACACTGCAAGATTTAATTAATATTCCAAGCCTCCAGGCACTACAGCCAGTGTTACCTCATTACAATATACATTACAGTCATATATTGTAATAATAACAAAGATTGTCCCATCTTTCCACCTGTCCCCTGAAGGAACAACTTTGCATTAAGTGGTTTACGATCTAGCGGGGGAAACACACACACAGTGGAGAGCCAATCATCGGAGACTGGGGAACAGCGTCGACAGCTGTTGACTGAATGAGTAAATGGGAGATGAAGGAAGATGAGTCTTAACTGGGCGTTACAAAATGGCCACATACAGATCCTGACCGAGACTTCCTGGAGCAGAGCGGTTGTAGGTATCAGGTGGGATTGGTTTTTGCATATGCCATCTGTGACTAACCACTTCCCCACACGCGTCCATTTTTGAATCTCTCCAAAAGGGGTTAACTCTATCATAGAGTGATTGTGGAATACTAGAAAGTATCTATATATACAATTGACTAATAAGAAATGTTACGTTATTAATAGTAAAAGTGTTTTGTTATTATCAATGTATCGTTACTCTGTTTAACTTTATGATTAAAATGTTGGAGCAGTGAACGATGAGATGTGGAAAGCAGTGTGTCACAGGGGATCCGGAAGTGGAAAAGGCTGGAAAGAGAGGCCAGTCCTCCCGAGTACAGTCTCGACGCTCATTTAAAGCAGCAGGTGGGCTGGAGAGAAAGCTTATTGGTTAAGAGCGCCTCCTTCTGGACCCTGTGGACACTACATGTATGTCAGACAGGTGTGAACAAAACGTCCATACACGAAAGGAAGAAAGGAAGAAAGAAAGAAAACAAATCTTTAAAAAGAAAATTAAAGCAGTATGTGCCGTTCCAGATTTTCGTTCCCAGATCAGATGTCATTTAAAGTCCTCATAACAAAGTTTATACCATGCTACTAATGGTATTTCAAACCATAGGCGTAATTATGGATACTATTTACATTTTGCTTATAAAATATACTACTTTTCACCATTTTAAAAATCTATTTCTATAATTTTCATGCACTTTTGAAGTCAAAACAATTTACAGCAAAAATCAATACAGAAAACTGGAAATTCTTTAATAAATTCTTACCATGAGTAAATGTTTATGAGGAACCTAGTTTTTGCCCTTAACGTCTGCCCTGAATGACCAGCAACTCACACAACACGGTGAGAATAACCAGCTATGTCTCTTTGGGAGCAGGAGCAGTAGAGTCCCGGGGCATGCTGGGTAGCCATGGAAACCAAGGGCAGGGTAGAGAACTGGTGCTGTTCCCAGGCTGAAGGAACTCAAGTCTTCGCCATCACTTCCCATATTACGCTCGATCAAAGAGATTTACTTTCAGTGTTGGGTAATTATTTGAACTGGGTTAAAATAAAAAGGCACTCATTTATTTAAGACGCGTTTTTAAAGCGTTACTTTACATTTCTTTCTTAGTTTATCATGCTGTTTTGCATATAAAGCGCAATAAATATTGGTTGATGCGATCCATTATGCAAAGAACAGCGTTCACTGCAGCTGCAAAGTAGCTCTGAGCGTGGACTGATGTTCCTACGTCTCGGGAGTTGCAAGCATACCGCAACAAAACCAAGGATCAATTATCAACAGCAGTCATTTTTTTTTTTTACTTAAATTTGTATATGGTTGATGGTATACCTTGTCTGTGAGTAAAATGGTGGAAAACCAACTGTTTTAAAAGTAAAATCATTATATCAAACTGGTGATTTAGAAGGTCGAAGTTCTGTCCTCGTCTGGGTCTAGAACCCACGGTTTGGTGAGATTTCTCAATGAGTGAGATTTCATACTGTCATTTGGTCTAATCTGTCAAAGGTGTTTCATGTGCTCTCAAAAGTTGAGTTTAACTAGTTAAAACATGAAAGAAATGTTAGCAGCTTTTAAGCCATTTCAACAATGGATTTGCTTGTACCCAGAGGAAAATATAAAATAAGGAAAAGGTAGTCCAACCCAATGCTGGTTAATTTTCAACAACTTGACACAAACTGGAAGAGGGAACTCAGCCAAAGAGCTGCCTCCATCAGATTGGCCCATGGGCAAGTCTGTCGAGTATTTTTTTAATTAATGATTGATGGTGGAGGGCCTGGCCTACTGTGAGTGTTGTCAACCCTAGACAAGTGTTGAAGTGGACATTTCTGCTTTCTTTGGAGACTTAGTTGTGTCATGTGATTTTTTTTTCTGGAAACTGTCTTATGAGAGGATGCTTTTTGCTGAAGCAGACACATGGGAGGATATTTTGCTGAGAAGAGATCCGTGGTGATTTTCTGGAAGTCACCTGGAAAAGGGGCATGTGATGTTTCTCTAGAACAGACGCTTGAGAGAACATGTTATGTTTGGAAAGGGTAAATAAATATAGCCCAAGGGACAGTGGATGATTCTGGGTGGTATTGATACGCCTTACCATTCTTTGTTGGTCATCGTTGGGCTTTGCTGATGCTGGTCTTCACTGATGACACTGGGTAGTATTGGTTCACCTTACCATTCTTCACTGGTCATCATTTGTCGTGACATCATAGAGAGAAACACACAGCAAAGAACTTCTATCCCTCAAGCTTCTTCCTGCTTCTCCAGACTCGGGCCAACTGGCAGAGCCTGCAGGTTTCTCCTGGATTGACCTGCCATTGATGATTCACGAATGGTGTTTGCAAGTAGATCCAGCTGCTGCTCCTAATTCGTGTGAACTAGATTACTGCTATCCTGACAGAGCAGACTGGATTTGCTCCAAAGAACTATTTCTAAACAGGTCCACATCCTCCTTTGCCTTATTAACCTTTCCTTTCCGCTACCTCTGGTGGGTGTTGGACTAGAAGGTGGGGTTAGATGATTTAAGGACCCTTATTAAAGTAGGTTTTGAAAAATATAAGCCTACAGAGTGGTGCTGGGTGGTAGGAAGCAGGTGAGCAAACCATGAAGGACCATCAGTGAGCAGCCTTCCTCAGTGGTTCTCCAGACCCCGCCCTCCAGGTTCCTGCCCTGAGCTCCTGCCCTCATGACCATGCCTCATGGAAGACTGTGAGAAGCAAAGTGATATAAACACTTTCCTCCTCATGCTATTTCCAATAATTGTACTACCACAGAAGCAGATTGGGACAGCACCCTTTCCATGCTAAGTGTTGGGATACTTGCTCCAAGACTTAGCCACAATTAACAATAAAAAGCTACCTTCTGTGTGCTTACTTCAGACCCTTTACGGAATATATTTTCTCTTTCCTTCATTTAGTTGTCCCATGATTCTTCTTACATAAACTATGACTCAGAAGGGTAAGTGGATCTACTCAAGGTCACATACAGTTTACTGAGCCAAGACCTGAACCCTGAGCTGTAAAGCCCCTGTCTGAGACTATGCCAGTTAGACTATCACTCACAGGATGCCTCCTAAGAGGTAAATAGTCCAACCACCAAATGCATCAGGCTATATGGAAAGGTCTTTCGGGTCACCTGAGTGAGGTAGATGGGTTGTATGTCTCTTATGAATGTTTATGTTGAGCAAAAAATAAAACATAATTCTCTGAGCAGAATACTAAACAATTATAGCAAGCCATTGATTTGTGTCTCAGGGGCTAGATGAATCTAATTCATTTTTATTTTTAATTCTCAAAGCTTTAATCCACAGAGTTGGGTACTATTATTGTTAATCTTAATTTGAGACCAAAAAAAGTAAGTACTTTTGCCTCAGGGGACATAACAGGTGTGTGGAAGATCTGAGAATCTAATGTGGGCAGGTGGGGACAATCCCCTGGGTTTCAGCTAGCATCACTTCTCATAGAACAGGGACCCTGATATCTCCACCTCTCATTGTGTAAAGCAGCAGCGGCGGGGGCCTTTGGAAATAATTTTCCTGCACAGTTTCTTGCAAACTATTTGCAAAGATAGAGGAGACAAACAAAAACGGGATTCAATAAGTAGTCACTATTTGTGGCGCTCTCTCCTTCTCTGTCTACAACACTCTGAACTCGTGTTTTCTTTGGGAAGAAACCAGTACGGTGAGAAACCATGGTAACTGTGTAAAGTGTCCCTTTAAAGACATGTAGGCTCTAAGACCTTCCAGTCAGACCATATCTAAATAGAACAGGAAGATCAGTGCGTGGAAAACCACACATTCAGATTGCTGGAAATTGGTGTTTAATTTGCTGTCCGTGGTACTTTATCAGGAGTAGGAAAAGGTGACATTTATAACAGCAAAATAAAGATAGTGTCATTCACACAGTGCTCAGGCTGCCTCCGGGGCCAGGTCTGCATGACTTAATCATCGGTTAATCCAATAATTTGGCCACCTGCATGCTCCATTTTCCTTCGCACTTTTCCTATAACCACATAACCCTTGGCTCCACAGAAACGAAACTCACGGAAGTCTGCTAATCCATGGCACAGCAGCTCCCTCACACAGAAAAAAAAGAAACTCTCAGTCTTCCAGTGCTGAAGAGAGAGTTAGGGAGAGAAGCCACTGAACTGGATGTCCCCTCTCTCCTGAATTAATCGTACCACACTGAATTGACTAACTAGACCACAACGAGAAGCCGGTCTAATCATCGAGAATTGGGCATATCCGTTGCCCTTCACACATCATTGGCTAAATTCACTTTGGAAAGCAACGCAGATCAGAGCAATTCAAATATTTACGTAGGATCTTCTCCCTGGGAGGGAAATAATGTCATATGGTTGAAATCATCCTTCAGTATGAAAAGGGCCTCGCAGGAGTTGAAGTTGGGACCCCCCCAGGAAACAAAAGGAGGCCTGAAAACAAAAATCCGAAGACAGAAGCAGAGCTGCTTTATGGTGTGCACGGTGCTAAGAATAAAAGTAGCCAACGTTTACTGAGGTACTAAGCATCAGGGTCCATGCAACACAGTGGGACAAATACTATATAATGATAATGGTAATAATGTCTGTGGTCAGGCTCTGGGGGTGGATGTCGGACTAGAACAAAGGAACACAGCCGCCTGCGGGGATCTACCCCAGGCCTTATGAGAAGGATTCTAGCTGCTTCACAGAGCCTTAGCTGAGATACTGGGAGGCACAGCTGGGCAAAGAGTCAGCCCGGCTGCTAGGAGGAAGGCACTGAGAGGCAGAGAGGAAGATGGTAGACACAGCCTGCTTCCTATGGGCAGACAGTCAAAGGATAGAGATTTTTAAATTTCGACTTAATTGTTTTTAAGAATGGAAGAGTGTATAGTGGTAACTGTTTAAAATGTTCTTAGATGTACAGAGATACTAAGTTTCTTCACCGTCTCCTGCTTTTTAACCTATTGTTTAACGATCTAAAGCCTCAATACGTATACATCTCTGTATTTAGTTTTAGTTAAATTCCCTTCTACTTACTGTATAAGAGTATTAGAGGCTCTCAGTTTTTGTATTACCATTGGTTACTGATAAAATAGACTCATTAAAAAAAAGACCATTGTCTTTCACCTGCTCAGATGAGGAGCAATATTTCATCCTTAACTGATTTGTGTGTACCCAAAGCCCCACCTGTTGAACCTCTATTCGTCCTCAAGATTCAATTCGGCATCATCTCCTCTAGGAAACCTTGCCTTACTTCCCCAGGTGGCTATACACTCTATCTGCTGCTTCTCAGGCACTGTGCATCTGTTCCATCGATGCTGGGATGAGTGGCATGTCTGTCTCCTCATTTGATCTTGTAAAATCCTACCTCTTTTGCCACCAGCACTTAGGACCTAGATATCTAGCACTCTCGGCAGGGTTCTGATAAATTCATTAACAATGTATTGACAATCATAATTATGTTGTATGGTACATAATTATAATTATTATAAAATAACATAATGTGAGCAAGAAACAAGCTGTCTAGCTAAATGAATGTTCTCTGGGATTTGGGTAGACGTATAGCCAAGCTTCCTAAAACTAAATCAGGTCTTGGATATCAAGACAATCCTGACTCAAGATTACATACATAATTAGCAAAAGGTTAGCAAATTTCTTGGACAATCTTTTGTGGGTTTTTTTTTTTAAATCAGGATGCTTAA